GCGGGTAACCTCAGAAGAAAGGAACTCTCTAGTCTGCTCATCCATCTGCCCGACCTCCGGGCCTGATCCCGATCCTGATCCCCCTCCGGCATCTGAGCTGCCGACTGCTGGTCTCGGACGCAAAACTACCATTCTGAAACATATCATAACAACATCAGAACACTGAAATATCTCAAGGGATCATGATACTACTACTAGCTTCCTGGTCTTGTCTTGGCCTTCCTTGATTCGAGTACGGATCCTCTGCTTTCAGTAGTATGGGCCCCTACTACCTTCCACATCTATCCGTACTTTCCTCAAGAACTGCCTTGACTCCACCAAGTCACTTCTACGCTGCTATTCTCTGCTACTCTCATCCTAGGCTTGCCCTAGAAACCTCAAGCTCAACACGACTGGTCCTCAGCTGCTGTAGGTCTCCTCATAATGCCAGCTAGCCACCACCTAAACACCATCACATGTGATGAGGATCAGATAATCCTTCAAGTAAAAGATCCGTCCCTACAACGGTTGGACTCAAACAAGAGCTGCGCAATAGGGCCAGTTCCAGCACTCTGGGATTATTCAAACCTGATTACATGTGGTGTGACGTGTTCACCTAATGGCTAACTCCCATACTCAGAACCCCACCAAGCACGAAGCAAGCAGCATTCGGACAAGGGAAACAGACTCAGGCAAAACTATTCTTATAACAAGAAACTGCACTAGCATAGGATGCTAAGCTCATACTATCAGGCATAACCTAAACAGGCTATCCTACTGCTGTCTACTCAATTCTAGCATGCAATACTCATAAAGCTGTAACACATAAGCAGGCACATAAGGCATTCTCCTAGATCCTTAGCCCTATACTAGCATGCTGTTCTACTGAAACTGAAACTGAACAAATAACTTGTATGGGTAATTTGGGAGTACTTACTTGAGCTCGGCTGACCGCATGCACACACCTCTATCTTGTTAAAAACAATTCTTTCTTTCTAAGTGCTTTCAAAATTCTTTTTGTAAAACATTTTTATTTTACTAAAATCTTTTATTTCCCTTAGTTTGAGTTCAGATACACCCGGAAGTGTATCCGAATCCCTCAAACCAGGGCTCTGATACCAACTTGAAACGACCCAAAAACACGACCCAAAAATTTTCGTTTTTCAATATAATCAAAACCATAATATAAGTATCATAACATAAAACATACGCGATGTATCCCCAAAACATAATAAAATATTGTGCGGAAAACTGTATCATACTACATCAATCCAAAACATCAAGAGACATCCCCAGGATAAAAGCTATGCTGTGGTGTGTGCGATGCTGTCACCCCGAGCTCTTCCCTTTGCTTGCGGAAGTACCTGAAACCAAACTGAAACTGTAAGCACGAAGCTTAGTGAGCTCCCCCAAACTACCACATACCATACAATAACATATAAACACATATTGGGCCTTGCCCACTGCATCGGGCCGAAGCCCGGAAACTGCATCGGACCGAAGTCCGGAACTGACTGGGACCTTGTCCCCTGCATCGGACCGAAGTCCGGAACTAACTGCATCGGACCGAAGTCCGGAACTGACTGGGACCTTGTCCCCTGCATCGGACCGAAGTCCGGAACTAACTGCATCGGACCGAAGTCCGGAACTGACTGACTGAACATGGCATAGCATAACACATCAACTAGCATAACACATATACGACATGCTACATCGGGCCGTGGCCCGGAACACATAATACTTAACACATAAAACATAGCACACAAATCCTGTTCGAGCCACGAAGGCATCGAACATACTAACTACTGCATCGGACCTAAATCCGGAAACTACTGCTAACTGAACGGGCCGGCATTGTGGCCTTAGACCCGTTCCTACTGGAAGGAAACTCACCTCGTAAGCTGGCTGCTGAGTGTGTGGCTCGGAAAGCTAACGGCGGCTGCTCCTGAATCTCCTCGGCTACAAGTCCATAAACACACTCAATCAAATACTAAACACTGCGCTTGGGGTAAAATGACTCTTTTACCCTCGGTCAAAGTCAATTATCTTTTGGGCTGACTCGCCGAGTTGGGCCACCCAACTCGCCGAGTCCTACTCTCACTTTTCACTCTTACTCACTGCTACTCGTCGAGTCTGGCATCGACTCGACGAGTACCCTCTTGATCCAAGAACTCAGACAATCTTCATCCGACTCGCCGAGCCGGATGAACAAACTCGACGAGTTGTTCTTGATCCCAAGAAGATTGCCTTGGACTCGCCGAGTCCTTCCATCACTGAGTTCACCCTCAACTCGCTGAGTCCACTCTCTAGCTCACTGTTCACTCGACACTGGTAAAACGAAGAATCGGGACTCGCGACCCAACTCGCCGAGTCGTTCTTCCGACTCGCCGAGTTGCCGCCATGCAACTGATTTTTACTTGATTTTGTTTGAATCCAATGCATACAATTGATAGATCTGAGTCCAATAAGCTGATTTACCACGTAAAGTTTCCAACTTTACGTGTACAACCTCATGAATAAGGGAAATAAGGCTAAAAGATGCATAAAATGGGTAGATCTATGGTTATCATGCAATATAACTCCAAAAAGACAGTAGATCTGGGCTCTACAACACCCCAACATTCAGATCCATAGATATTTCGACTTAATAAGACGTTCATGCAAGTGTAAGGCTTGGAACAAGCATCAACTAGCTCTTAGGAGAGCTCTAATGGAAGTTTAAAGCATATAACAAGATGGAACTCCGAAAATACCTCAATTAACTCTGATTTGGCCTTGGATCTTTGCACTACAACACTTCTCCTTGCTTCTTCCTTCTTCTCCTTCTTCACACCTTCACAAAATGGCACCAAAACACATATAAGCTCTTCAAGGGAGGATTAGGGTTCTCTCACTGCGTTCTCAGGGTGAGGGAGGCGAGAATGGGGGCTATAAGGTGGTTTAAATAGTGGGCAACCCGGGGAATTTAGGGTTTCACCCAGACAGATGGACTCGCCGAGTCAGGGATATGGACTCGCCGAGTCCCCGGCTCACGTGTGCCCTCAGGCGCGACCCTACTCGGCGAGTCAGGCTAGAACTCGCCGAGTCCCTCTTGAAAAACTCACTATAATTACCAATAAATCAACATACCGGGAACGGGTCGTTACATTTGTACCTTGCATTTCTTTCCTAGTTTTCAATTTATTTTTATTAACTGATGTGTTTTATATCTTTTTGTAAGTGATGTTTTTTGTTATTTATCTGCATAATTTTAATAGTTAAAAACTACAATCATTTGGTTTTTTTTGTAAGTACTATATTTAAGTTTAAAATTTTCGAAAAAAATAATTATGTACTTGAAAGTAGGATGGTATAATAGACACATCACTAAATGTATATTTTTCCCAATGCAGTGTCTGCTAAAAAAATAAACAACTTTATTTGAATGTTACTATAATCGGGTAGATTTGTCAAAGTAAAATGCTATAATAGGAACAAATGAAAGCATAATGCTACAAGATAAAGTAAAATCGGTTCATTGTTGTTACATCCACATTTCAAGTAAATATTGTTTATTTGACACCATGTAATGCATCATGAACTATATAAACAATTATATTATACAAACAATTAATTATTATTTATATATCAGTTAACTTGTTCACTGAACGGGTATTAAACTACTTTAAATGGACACTCTTAGATTTTTTTATGGACATCTTTATAATTAATAGATAGCTATAATTACGATTTCCAAATTAAACCACATTAATATATAATTGTATAATGAAGTGTTTAAGAAACAAAAGATCTTATTTATAAATATCAAAATATATCTGGAAATTTTATTACATTAAGATAACAAAATTAAAAAAGATATAATATGGAATTTGAAAAAAAAGCAATGAGAAAAAAAAAAAAAAAATCTTAGTATTAACAAAAAATAAATAAATGTGTTAGTTACTACTAGCAACGAAGCAATGATATGCTTATAGAATGTTTTCAGAATATGAAAACTCATAGTTAACAATTTTGATACATTGACTACCGTGTTTTTAAAATTTTTGCTTTTCGCATTATTATGGACAACTCCACCGGATAACCAAATCTTTCATACTCATTAAATTTGTCACATTAGTTAAACTGGACAATTGTGATTGTCAAACTTGGATTCGGGACTATACGACTCTATGTGGACACTAACTTCATTATTTTCCTTGATGTGGGTTAAGCAACCATTGTTGAGAACAAAAAACCACCGAGTTCTTTTCATTCTTGATGATGTGAAATCTACTATATTTTATTATAGCAATACCTTGAAGAAGAAGCACTGACGTTAATGAAAAAATCTATTGCTTGAAATTGAAGATTTTTTATATACTGATATTTAAGATCTCAATATATGTGGGCATGTGATGTGTCATTTGACAAAGTTTTAGCTAAGGCTATATAAAATTTGAATGTACCTTGTTACTGTGAATAAAAATCTACGTTTATTATCACATAGATAAAGAAGACAAAGTACTTGTCTAGATGTCTTAAATCATAAAAGTATACATACATATGTTATTTAGCTATCTTTGAAGAATAAAAAAAAAACATAGTTTCTATATCTTAAATAAAATTTATGTTTATAAATAAAAAAATAAAAATAAATTAAAAATAAATAAATAAATAAATAAATAAGTTAGATTACATTGGATTTAAGTTAAGCAGGCATCTACCATCAATGAATTATAAAGCTTAGATAAGGGTACAACGTTGAAGGCACTATCGTTTGGTAGTATATCTGTTTACACAATTAATAATTTAAAAACACAATAAAATCTTCAAAATATAGTACACCTGTTTATGACAAATATTAATTTGAAAAACAATAAAGTATTCCAATTTCAACTTGTTAATTAAAAATACTTAACTGAAAACTGAAACTTCCAATGGCGTGTTGGTAATATTATCTGATCATCAACGTGTTTCTTGAAATATTATTGGAAGACTTTCCTTGAATCTATAATTGTCGTTCTCTCAAGCCTTTTCATTATTATCTTATTTTATTTCTATTTAATAATTATTAGAAAATTAATATAAAGATTTTTTTTTTTTTTTGGAGAAATCCAATAGTTACATTACATATATGGCCATGTATATATATATACACCCACCAAACAACCGTTTTAAATACAGAAATATTTTTTCTCATTAGAGCAGAGCAAAGCACATAATACACCTGTCTCTCAAATCAATTCATATTCGTGTTTATTCGTTTATTGTTTGATTGATAATTGAGGAAAAGAAACAAATGGTATTAGTTGGGAGAAAGAAGAGTGGAGGAGAAGAGGGAACGCAATTGCAATTGGGGAAATACGAGATCGGAAGAACACTTGGTGAAGGCAATTTTGGGAAAGTTAAATTCGCTAAAGACGTTCAAACTGGACACCCTTTTGCTGTGAAAATCCTTGAAAAAACCCGTATCAAAAACCTCAACTTCTCAGATCAGGTATAATAATCAATTCCATTCCGTTACACTTCCATCTTCTATCTAGTGAAACTGAATTGATGTTTCATTATAATTTAGTCGGCTATGAGTTGTGATTTTTGATTTGGAATGTGTTTGAATACTTGGAGAATAATCTTCAAATTTGAGTTGAATCTATTCTGATATGTATACTATTGACTTGTTGCAGATAAAAAGGGAGATTGCCACATTGAAGATCCTCAAACATCCTAATGTTGTTCGATTACACGAGGTGCCTTTCTAACCATAAATCTTCTTCTTCTTCTTCTTCTTCTTCTTCTTCTTTAGTTTATTATTATTAATTTTCATGAAATATCGGATCATGAAAAGAAACGTTCTTGGTCACGATTGCTTATCTTTAATTTTTTATACCCTTCAAAGAAATATCGAAAACTGGGTTTCCTATTGAATGGATCAAGATCAAGATAAGAAGGAAGTAATTGAGGGGTGGTGGGTCAGAGAAAGTTATGGATTAATTTTTAAAATTAAATAATTTTATGAAGAAGACATCGTTTTCTATGAATATTAATAATCAATACGTTCCAATAATTTGGTGTTGGTGGACTGGACTGTTAATAGTGGTTAAACCTAACTTCTAATCCTAGTTTACCAATTACTTAAGATATATCAAGTTCTCAAAAGGGCATATGTGCATATGTCATCCATTCTGTTATCTTTATTATTAGTTAATATTATTATTATTACTTTTTCTGGGTTTTACATGAAATAACTTTGTGATGCAGGTTTTGGCAAGCAAAACCAAGATTTACATGATTCTTGAATACGTAAATGGAGGCGAACTATTCGATACAATTGTAAGAAAGCATCTGCTTTTCAGCTTATAAAAGATACTCTTACATCACAAAATCAAGTCTTACAAAATTTCAAATTATTACAGGCATCAAAAGGTAAATTGCCCGAATCAAATGGGCGGAAGTTTTTCCAACAGTTGATTGATGGGGTCAGTTATTGTCATGATAAAGGCGTTTATCACCGTGACTTAAAGGTCGGTCAATTCATTTTTATTTTTTTATTTTGTTCTACTATAATAACATCAAGATCCTAATTAAAAACGGTCATGGTGTATTGATGTTTTTACGTATACATATATATATGTATATAATAGGACTGATAAAATGCTGCTTTGAGAAACTGCAGCTCGAGAATGTTCTTGTCGATGCAAAAGGAAGCATCAAAATATCAGATTTTGGCCTTAGTGCACTGCCCCAACATTTAAGGGTATTTTGTCTCAAAATCACTCTAGACTACTTTTTTGTTACACTACACATAAAAATGGGAAATTATGATTTATTTTTTTTATGTTTGTGATGTATTAGGATGATGGGCTACTACATACGACTTGTGGAAGTCCTAACTATGTTGCTCCCGAGATTCTTTCCAACAGAGGGTACGATGGCGCCACGTCAGATACATGGTCATGTGGGGTCATTTTATATGTAATCCTAACCGGTTATCTCCCATTTGATGATAGAAATCTTGCAGTTCTTTATCAAAAGGTATTCAAACAAACAAACAAACAAAATTATTAAATTGGATGTTTTCAAGTTTATAATTAAAGAAAAGGGTACGTATTTGCAGATTTTCAAAGGGGATGTGCAAATGCCGAAATGGTTACCTTCAGGGGCAAAGAATTTGATAAAGAGAATTCTTGATCCAAACCCTAAAACAAGGATAACAATAGCAGAAATCAAAGCAGACGAATGGTTTAAACAGGATTATACTCCTGCGATTCTTGATGAAGAGGAAGATGATGTAGTACCTGTTGAAGTTGAAGTTTTATCTTTACATGAAGCTGTAAGCAATTAAAAATTTCAAAGACCATTTTGGAATAATAAATTATTAATCTTTTTTTTAACTTTTTATGGTTGTTGACTTGTTTCAGCCAACAGATTCAGAAAAAGATCCCGAATCACCTACTCATATCAATGCTTTTGAACTCATTGGAATGTCATCTTGTCTGGATCTCTCTGGGTTCTTTGAGAAAGAGGTAAACGATTCTATCAGATTCTTTTTCACTATTTTTAATTAGCAGAATTAATCTTTATATGTTAATTTTTTTTTTTCTATTTCAGGATGTATCGGAGAGAACTGTGAGGTTTACATCCACATGTTCTCCAAGAAAGTTGTTAGGAAAAATCGAAGATACAGTATCACAGATGGGATTTGTAGTTCAAAAAAGAAATGGAAAGGTACTTAATATGTACATAATGACTTAAAAGGGTTAAGCCAAATAAATGTGATTTAATGTTCAAATTTACAAAATAAAAACAGGAGAAAGAAATTATATAAACTTTTTACATTTTTGCTGAAATTTTGATTCGTGTTTTTAGTTGAAGGTGTTAGAAGATCACAACGGGCAGAGGAAGCCTTGTAATTTATCCGTTACAGCAGAAGTAAACGCTCAAATTAAACTTAATTTCAACTTAAACAACCTCACCTCCTTTTCCTCTTTTTTTTTTTTTTTTTTTCTAATGATTTTTTTTTTTTAATTTGCAGGTGTTTGAAATAAACCCGTGTTTGTATGTAGTTGAATTAAGAAAAAACAGCGGGGAGAGTAGTGTATATAGACAGGTACTCGCTAATTCATCCTCAAAAACATGCATTCCATTATGATTTGAGTTAGTTAATCAGTATTTAATACAAGTGTGTGTTTGTGTTTATGCAGCTATGTGATAAGGTATTGAAGGATTTACAGGTGTCACAAAGTCAAGAGCATCTGGCAGCAAAGTTGCTGGAAGCTTAATAGGTTTGGAGACATATATATATATATATATATATATATATATATATATATATATATATATATATATATATATATATATATATATATATATGATGGATGTATAAATATTATAGGAGGAGATTATGTGAATCTTCAAGTTATATTCAAGTAAGGAGAAGATTAGTGATGAAAAAAATGCTTCATTTCTTTGGTTCTTTATATATACATACATATGGTCTTAAGCTCAATGTTGAAATCGTGGGTTATATTGTATAGCAATTAGTAAATGTATGGATACAGATGGTAATAAATATATTACTTATATGTAATTAAATTCGATATGTATTGGTTTAAACGAAAAGTCAGCAATTTTTGTCCATATTTTTCTCGTGGTATATAATCAATTGCCTTTTGAAATATGTTAAGGGTAAAGTAATTCAATACATATAAGGGGCAACACACTTGCTTTTGTTTACTTATACATATCATTATCAATCAATCATATATGTCTTCCAATCCACTTATTTTATTCATGTTTTTTTTTTTTTTTTTTTTTTTTTTTTTTTTTTTTTTTTTAAATTAATATTAAAATCTAATTGGTAAGTAACCAACAAAACCCCCGACCCCATCTTTTCATTGTCAAGTATTCATGCTAGTTTCCTATCTTCGTTACATTCAAGACTCCTTCCAGCGAGCCCCATGCATTTATTATTCGATACCAACTTCCTCCTGTGTTGTATTTTTCAGTTTTAAAAGATTTGATTACATCTTCTGTAATCCATGTAGGTGGGTTGTAAAATGATCGAACTCATGTGAGTATGAGTTTATTAGATTTAATTGTGTTATCATGTGTTAGCACCAAGATTCATGTTAAAAGTTAGGTTTCAGTTTAATTGGTAGGAACAACTTATATGAGTTTAGGTCGAATAAGCTACGGTTTAGAGCTCGCAAAAATCAATCCAACCCACCAACCCGAACCCAACCCAAATTAGCAGGTTGGGTTGAGATTTTCAACCCAGTTAAGTTAAATAGATCAATATGTCTAATTCATTTAATTAAATCGGTTGAATCAGGTAAAAAACTCATTTTCAACCCACCAACTCATTTAATTTTAATTTATAATTTTATATTTAATCTAATAATTATTTAAATATTATCATGTTTTAATCTAATTATTAGTTTATAAATTACAATGTTCATATTATTATTTATGTTTTAAAAAAATAGAATCATAATTCCTATATTTTTTCTTGGCACCGACAACACTAGCAACTCTAAAACATCACTTAGAAATTACATATATTTAATGTTATTTGAACAATTTCTTAATTTATGTGAATTGGAATTGTGTTTTTGACATACTTCGAAATTTTATTTAAGTCTATTACTAATTTAAATGGTGTAATCTTTAATTAATTTATTTATTTGTTTTTATTTTAAATGGGTCAACTCAAATTTAACCAATTTACTTAATAAGTTGGATTATGACTACATAAACGGATAAACCCGGCAACAATCAATTTATCTAAAAAGTTGGGTTGGATTGAAATATCAACCCATTTACCTAAAGAGGTTGAGTTAGGTTGAAATTTTCAACTCATGTAATAAATGAGTTAAACCCGAACCTAATACAGATCGACTCATTGTCAGCTCTACTAGGGTTATATGTATAAGCTTTATGATCTTATATTAGAATTCAGTGAATAGATGTTAACAAAGATTGATTAGTTTGGTTTTTGGTTTAGTATGAGAACATAATACTAGATTGTTCAAGCGAATTATGCTTTGGTAAGATTACCTATATTCATTAATGGTTTGAGTCTAAGGTTTCGAATAGACTTGTGGTTTATGGTTTGAGTGAATAATGCTTCACCAAAATTTGTCTATACAATAATACAAATTGATTCTGATAACAAAAGCTCAACCTCCACTACAAAATAAATTTATAATTGTTAGAGCAAGTGGAGGAGTGAAGAAATATTAGTTATTTCATAAGTTCAAGCATATTTGAATTATTTGGAAAAGTAAGGTCCATGACACACAAAGGGAGCTATGTCATGGCACACAAAAGGAGCTATGTCTAAGTAGAAATGTGCATGGGTTGGTTAGCTTCAGTTTTAGGGACCAAAACGGACCCAATCGGTTGATGAAATCCCTAAAAAATCCGCTCACTATATCAAACTTTCTAATATAAGTCAACAAAAGTATTTAGAGAAATTAAGTAAAGTAACCATTATAATGAGTTCTATAATAAAAATAACCAACGTTTATTTTTTTTTTTTAAATGATCACCTTCTCTGGAATAAGTAATTCTTGAGAAGTACTATGTATTCCGGACAGACGTGGTAGATATGGATTTAATTATAGTCATATATTCCAGAATGACATTGTCAATTTGGGACCACCCTAGTCAAAACTGTACATATCGACTGACAGCCCGACACACATTAATTATATAAACATGTATATTCCAATTTAGTTTTACTTACAACCAAAACATGTAATTATGTTGTGTTATAACCACTTAAAATGAGTTTCTCAAACAACAATCATGAAAAAAAACTTTGCCAAGTTGCATGTTTACCCGCATAACATTAACATTAGGAAAGCAAACCCCCATAGTTACACCAACATCAAAACTAATATTATGGATCGTTTTCAACATTGTTTTGTGGTTATTATATGTGTAGTAAGATAATTTTGTTACAAATTTTAATTATTTATTTAAATTTTCTAATGCTTTAACGACTTGTTTTATTTTGCCCAAAAAATAATCAGCATCATACATTCATAGGTCGCTTTATGTCTGTCATCTTTATATGTAGTGTCCTTCTCAGAGGAGACTGTCTTATAGACAATGTTCATAGTGGTTTCTATGGACAGAAACAATGAGACTATGTCTATAGCATTATGTCTAGTCGTGGAAAATAATGTCAAGTTTTATACGTGGTTCTTGATGAGGTTGAAGGAAGATCTTAGAGACTCTAGGGAAGTATTGTTCATAACCAATATAGACGATGTGATAACTTTTTCCATAGGTCAGGAATTATGTGATTCTTATCATGGGTTTTGTTGTAAGAGTGTGTTATTGCATGTGCACACAAGAGTTAGTCAAAACATAACATTAGAACTTTTATTATGGCATATGAAAATCATATACTTTATCTGATTTTAAACAAACATTTTTTTGGCTACCCCCTTCCGCATGTGTGTTTCTTGCCTACATCGGTCATGAGTAGTGTTATAAAACTCGCCAATTTGTCCGTTTAATCCTCCGATTACTCGCTACTTGGCCCCTTACTGAGACGAGTTACAGAATCTCGAGTACTCCCTGATCGGCCCCTTACTGAACTGAGCAGTGTTATCAAACCCGGTTAACTCGGTGATTTAATATGTATAATATACTTAACGATTTGTTCTTTAACACACACAAACATGTGATTATTACTACACATATATCTTAAATTTTCAGTAATTATTCATGAAGTGAGACCATTATGTGTTTTTCATTTTTTTATGTATTCACGTGAATCTAATTTTGTTATATATTTCAATCAAATTAAGATATTAAGTTATGATTTTGACATATATATAAGTTCCCTAAAAATATTTCTACATGAATTATCGAATCCAAGTACTCCCCGAGTACTCTCGGGTACTCGCTACTTGGTAGGCAGCCGAGCAGGTACCAAGTAACGAGTTCTACAACCATGGTCATGAGATATTGGCAAAACCCTATTTCCTTAACATTCATTGGAATGTAGTCAATATTGATATTCCAGAATCCATCCACATGCTATCGGTTCATGAACGCAATTTACTAATAACAAAACTCATAGAGGAAATATAAGACTACCTGCAATGAATTTTTATTCAACACGATGACTCACATGTTGACTTTAATTGTTACCTATTGTATAAGGTTGACCTTTGGTCAAACATTAGGTTTTAGGTAATAGTCTGAGTTTGACCTTTGAATACCTGTTTTGGTGGTTGTTGTGCTTGCCTTTGCGTTTTTTGAGTTTTAGAGGTTTCTGCTTTGTCTGTAAGGTGACTTTTCTCACTGTGTTACTTATATAATATGTTGTATGCGTGTACATGAGCTGTTGGTAGGTCGATGTCGTTGATAACCCGAATGGCTATATGTGACTTGTTGATAGTTTGAGTTTAGTGACTTGGAATTAGGGATGATTCTTGAGACAAATACAAAGAGGTACGGAAGGTAGTATGGGCCTATACTACCGAAAGCACAAGATCCGTATGAGTATTATGGAAGTCATAGGATTCTAGGGAGTGGGTAGTTGAGTGTATAGTGTGTTAACATCATAATTTGATTTTTGACATGTTAGCTGTAAATTTTCAACATGGTGATGACCTGTGACAACTGTCAAATTCTGGTCAAGTCAAAGTCAAACAAAGTCAACAAATCAAACCAGTCAACTCAGTTAACCCTTGTATACTAGGGTTTACGTTACGTAATTACTGTGCAACTCGATATTCTAATGAGAAATCACCAATTGAAAAGTTCATATATCTATATTTCCTTAACCTAAAACTGTGGTAAGTAATGAACCAAACCGATAAAACAATGTTGCATACTCATCGGGAGTGTGTAAAATCCTTAAACATGGCTTAACAGGGCTTACGGAACTTGTGTTGTGAAGTCGAGCACTCAAAAAGGTCACAAAAGAAGCCTCTCCCAATCTCTTTCACTCTATCTCTCTCTATTTAAAATCTCTCCCAAATCTCTCTCAAAAGTTCTCGTAACTTTTGTTAATCATTCGGGTCATCCTGACCCTTAACTAGGTCAAAAACCACTTAAAACGGAGTAAAACAAGTAAACTAGCCTTAAGGACCCGAAACTACTCCTGATAACCGAAACCTCTTAGGACCGAAACCTCCTGAGAACCGAAACCTCTTAGGACTGAAACTCTCCTGAACCGAGCCTCGCCTGAACCTAAACTCGCCTGAACCGAACCTCACCTAGGACCGAGCCTCGCCTTCGGCCCTTCCCTTCGCACCTTCGGTCCGAGAGACGACCCTTCTCAGCCGAGACCGAGCCTCATCGCCAGCCGAGACCGAGCCTCACTTCCTGCTCCTTTCCCTCCTTCACACCATCGGTTCTCCTTTCCCTTTTCTAGGTTCCTCTTCCAAGACCGAACCCTACTCTCAGTTCACCCATCTACTTTCGGTTCTAAGAGTTGGGACCAAACCTCCGGCCCAGAATTTTGGAAATTGACAATTTTTGCCCGGTTTTCAATATTTTTAGCATTTTAGGACCGTTTTTAATTATTTTAACGCGGGATTTTCACCCAAAACTTTATTTTAACATATAAGTCCCCGTATTTATTAATTAATCACATTTTTTGGGATAAATCTTATCCAAGGAGAGTGGGTGAAGTACTAGAGGTGGAGTGTTGACTTTTCTTTAGTTTATGACACAAGCAACCACCCATACCCACTCT